AAGTTAATCCTCGACTATGAGATCAACTCAACCATTGCATTCCAGTTTAACCTGTGTGATGTGGTGGTCATGATCAAAGGTATCGAAGCGTCGATCTATATTTGTGTTTAGATATTTCAATGAAGGCGGCTGGTTTCCCTGTTCACACCACTCGCATGCGTAGGGCCCTCCACCAAGCAGGTCTGCAGTATCCAGGAACCCATGAACCAGTCTGTTCCTGGTACACAACCACTGCATACACAGGACTGTGGATACCCCCACGTTCTGGTTTGACTGAGGACACAAAAGCATGGTTGGACAAAGTGAGGTTTCAAAGAGATTACAACCCAGCAAAGAACCCAATCACTCTCTCGTTGAATAAGTTATCTGGCCCTCCACAACATTTTATCTCACAAACAAGGTCAACTTATTATACTTTCTTACTCCAGGCTTACGTAACAGGCACAGATCCAAAGGGAATTATCACAATAAGATTTATTTCCCCACCTCAGTCTCAACCATCCGAGACATCTACACATACCTCGCCTAACGTTACAAATGCAGGAGATAACATACCAGTCATGTCTGTAGATTACACCAAATTCAAACCTGAACAACTAATAGAACGTGCTACTGGCCATGGATATGTGGCTCTCATGGCTAATTGAAGCTGCAAGAGAGGCTCAGCTCAGCAACTGTGTTGCCTGTGCTGCAGCCAGACCAAAATTAGTCACTCAGCCCGCCCCATTGTTTCCTGAAGATACATGGGGTTATAACTGTATGCTAAATTTAACTAGACAAAACCCTGTGATAAATTGCACAACTCTGACCGACATCTACCCACCTAATCATAACAAAACACACCCCGGATCATTTAGACCTAACCAAATACTAGGCGGCTACCACTGTTTAAATTTTACATCTAACAACCCCAATCTAAACTATGGAGAAATATAACAAGATTGGTATAACCTACCTTTAGCTGTGAATACTGACAAAGAAGAAGATCAAACAATTGGATCCTGGGCCAGAGCTGGCCTATACTATTATTGCGGTGACCAAAGATTATCTGTTAAAATTCCCTTCAAAACTAGAGGACTCTGTGCTTTAGTCCGTCTAGTTGCACCCCTAACCCTAGTAGGACACACCATAGCCTCAAACACTCCTAAACGACGTCGACGTTCTACAGATTTCGACCAAACAGACTCAAAAACTTATATAGACGCAATTGGTGTCCCTAGAGGCGTTCCTGATGAGTACAAATTAGCCAATCCTATAGCTGCAGGATTTGAATCTCTAATTCCCTATATCAGTAAACAAAAACGTAGCCAGAATAAATTTTGTTCATTACAATGTTCTGCGTCTGACCAACTTAACTCGCGATGCTGTAGAAGGCCTAGCTGATCAACTTTGCCCCACCTCTAAAATGGCTGTACAAAACAGAATTGCTCTAGACATGCTTCTAGCTGAACAAGGAAGTGTCTGTCACATGATTGGTGATGAATGTTGCACCTTCATCCCCAACAACACAGCCCCTGATGGTAAAGTATCTCGTGCATTGAAAGGCATAAAGGATTTGTCCCAAGAAATGCAAGATGCATCAAGCATAAATGACCCAATCTCAAATTGGTTTGCTAAGATATTTGGACAATGGAAAGGTGTTGTTATGTCCATAATTCTGTCTATAATTGTCGTCATAGCCATCTTTGCAGTTTGTGGCTGTTGCTGCATACCATGCCTTCGCACATTGTCCACACGTATCGTAACTACTGCAATGACCCCTGAACGGCTGGCTGAAACTTATGCCCATATGCTTAAAAACACACCTGAAGACTTAGATCTGAACTTAACTGCAGAATCCACAACGTTTGTCCTGACCAACAAAAATACAATGTTGTAAAAGTTTCTCATTTCTTTGCTTTATTTTAACTTTTCATTAAAAGAATAATTTTGTTTTCTTTGTTTTTGCTTGCTATAATTATGGGGACCTGTCCCCCACAAAAACAGCCTATGCAATTTTCTAACTGAAGTTTATGACGGTCACATGTTAAAACATACACTGAATGCCACCTGTGTCCTGATGTTCTCACCTTATCAGTGTCTGATACTATCTGTATATACCTTGTTATCATCATTGTTATTATTGTTCCAAATGGAACAAAAAGAGGAATTGTGAAGGGCAAAGAATATACTCAAGTATTTTGTATTGTTTTAGTCAAGTCTTATGCATATTATTTAGTTAAGTTGTGATGTTCATCTATTTGAGACCACCCGCATGCCATTTCTTATTGAAACATCTGTTTCTCATCACACCATGGGGCAGGAAGTCAGAAGGGCCTTGTTGAGCATGTGAAGCCATCAGAATATTGGGTCCCAGAAACTGCTTGCACATAAATCACTGCAATAGGGATGCGCCTGACCTGACCAACACGGAACTGTTTGTCTTGGCCCTTAAGGTAAAGGATCCACCATCTGGAACCTGCCCAATGGGGCCAGGAATATTTTAAGATGTGTGGAGGTGTGTAAATGAAGCTGTACTGCTCATGTTTTTTCATAACACACAGAACTCACTGAGCTGCATTTTTGTTCATGTGTTCTCCTTCTGCAGAAGAGAAATAAAGTTTGCTACGTGTTTTTAAACAAAGTTCTCAGTCTTATCAAACTTGTTGTTCAATAAAATTTAGAAAACTCCACAGCTTTAATTCTTGAATGGTGGAAACGTTGATTCAGTGTTCTCACTACCATATTCTTGGGGCAGCTGTGGCTGAGTGGTTAGAGCAATCGTCCTCCAATGCATGAGTTGGGGGTTTGATTCTACCAGCAGTCACATACCAAAGTATCCCTAAGAAAGACACTGAACCCCTCATTGCCTCCGATGTGTGTCCTATCGGTGTATGAATGTGATAAAGCTCTGATTATTCTTTACATAGATCTAGTAGAGTGCTGTATGAATGGATAAATGAGGGCACAGATTGTAGTCTAGACAGTTTTGAGTATCTTGATAAGATATGAAAGCACTGTATAAGTACAGCCCCCTCTATTTTGGGGGGATATTTACCTTCCCAAAAAAATCCCTAATAAGAAACATTAAGAGCTCTTTAAATCCTTCATAAACGTTGGTCGTTTTATATTCTACTTCATCAGATTACTGCTAGTTTTACTACTGCAAATTCTACAGATTATAATCCTGGTAATGCCATTCATCCATTATCTCCCGCTTGTTCCGAAGTCGGGTCGCAGGGGCAGCAGCTTGAGCAGGGAGGCCCACACATCTCTTTCCACAGCCACCTCTTCTAGGAGGACCCAAAGGTGTTCCCAGGCCAACCAAGAGACATAGTCTCTCCAGTGTGTCCTGGCTTTTCCCCAGGGTCTCCTCCCAGTTGAACATGCCCAAAGTACCTCCCTAGGGAGGCGCCCAGGAAGCATCCTTACCAGATGGGCTCCTCTCGATGTGGAGGAGCAGCAGTTCTACTCCGAGTCTCTCCCGGATAAATTAACTTCTCACTCTATCTCTAACAGAGAGTGAGAATGGATGGTTGTTTGTCTCGTCTCTGTGTCCCTGTGATGGACTGGAGCCCTGTCCAGGGTGTCCCCCGCCTCTTGCACAGTGCTTGCTGGGCACCGACGACCCCCGTGACCCAAAATGGAATAAGCGGGTAAAGATAATGGATGGATGGTTTTCACAATTTACTACAATGATTTAACACGATTCTGATGGTGGTAAAAAATAAAATTAGTGGTGCGGGAACACAAAGAGAAATTGCATTTCCTGCGAAAATGCAGTGTGAATGCTTATTGTTGAAAAACAGCTGAAGTTACCTAAAAAAACAAGATGAAATGTAGCTGAAATGGAAGAACAAGCCTAAGTTGGCAGAATAAAGCAGAAAGAACACATAATTGCTGAATTAGGTTTAAATAAGCAGAAATGAGCACAATAATTAGGAAATGAGTTAAAAAAAAAAAAAAAAAAAACTAAGGTTAGCTAAAAATACCTGGAAAGTCAGAAAGAAGCTTAAACTACCAGAAGAAAGTAGGAGCTGAAATGAGAAAAAAAATGGAATTGGCTGAAAGCTAAAATTATCATAAACGGCTAAAAAAGAAGCTGAAATGGCAGAAAAAGCTGAAACTAGCAGAAATAAGCAGAAAGGATCACAAGTTAAAATTAGCATAAATAAGTTAATTAGGCTGAAAGTAGCAGAAATTACCACAAAAATCTTGAATTTATCTGAAAACAGCTGAAATTAGCTAAAAAAATAAATGCTAAAAAGCTAGTTGAAAATATAGCACAAGCTTAAATTAGCAGAAGAAACCAGAAAGAACACGATTGCCCAATTAAGCTGAAAGAAGCAAAAATTAGCACAAAAAAATGGAAATTATCTGAAAACTGCCAAAATAGGCACAAAAAAAAAGAAATCTGAAAAGTAGCTAAAAAGGCAGAAAGAAGCTGAAATTGACAGGGGGGAGTGGAAAGAGCACAATTTTATTGAATTAGGCTGAAAAAAGCTTAGTGCAAAAAAATGTGGATTTAGCTGAAAAAGCTAACGTTAGTATAAAAACAACTAAATAGTGGCTGAAATTGTAGAAAAAGCAGAAACAAGCTGAAAGGAGTGTAACAAGCTGAAATTAGCAGAAAGAAGTTAGAAGAAGGACAAACATGTTGTAGTTAGCAGAAAGAATCTGAAAAGAGTACAAAACAGCTGAAAGTAGCTGAAGTGGAACAAAATGTGAAAGGAGTAGTAAAAGGTTGGGAACAGATCTTAAGATTTGAAGGAGGTAAAATAAGATCAATTCATTTTCTATGAGAAAAAAGTGGTAGAAAAGACTAAATATTTCAAAAAGCTAAAGTTGCACCAATACCAAAAGTCATAGCACCCTTCTCCTGAACGAGTTGAACGTTTTGATTTATGATTTGTTGAAATAGCACAAAAATTCTAGAACGAGAAAAATGCTGAAAACCGTACAAAAGAAAACTGGACGAATGCTTCATAAACATTCACACAATAAAAGGAGTGGACTTGTACCTTCCACATCAGCGCTCAGATAGTTGCGCACCTCCCTCAGGATGAAGTTGATGTCTTCCTCCCCGGGGATAGGGTGGGCCGTTACGTTGGTGGGGGTGTCGGTGGTCCCAGCGATGGTCATGTTCGCCCACGGCAGGAAGAAGATGACGCGGCCGTCGCTTGTGGCTGGATCCAAGAGGCCCATGTTGTCTGGACTGAACGTGACAAGTAACAGAAGCAGTCAGGAGGAGGTGTTGAGGAAAATAAAATAATAAAAGAGGAGGAGAAAAAAAACGAAACGAAGGAGGAAAATTAGAAGGAGGGCAAAAAATTAGGTGGTTGGCATTTCTGTTCAAAGGGCTTGTGCTCCCTCGGGTTTCACTCAATAAGCTGAGCTGAACTTTAAAACCTCCGACTTGGACATAAAAACCCACTCTGCTGCTGTGCTGTATCTTCACCGGAGGAGATTGTCCTCGCATGGAAGCTAAGGTCAGGAGATAGTTTAGCTGCTTTCATATTCACACACCGGGAGGAGAAAACACCCATGAGGCCATGCATAGGAAGCAGCTGGTACCTGTAGTAACCCGGGATGACGATGTGGACTCCAGCGCTGGGCTGGCAGATGTTCATGACTTCCTGCTCGTCCATCTTCCTCAGAGAGTCCGTGAACGGTCCGGTGGCGTTAATCACACACTTGGCCTTCACATAGAACTCCCGCCCTGAAAAACAAAAAAAAGTTTCAAATTCAAAAGCTCAAAAGTTTTCAACTAAAATCATTGAATGACCAAAGAAAGGTGAAGTCGTTTTGGTTAAACCTAACGACAGTTAACGGTGGTGGCCATTTTTAATTGCAATGACTCCAAAAGTAACTCGAGAAATTGCATCTCCTGCGAAAATGCAGTGTGAATGCTTATCGGAAGAACTTGCTGAAAAACAGCTGAAATATGCTTAAAGCATGCTGAAACGTTGCTGAAATTTAAAATAAAAGCCAAAGTAAGCAGAAGAAAGCAGAAAGAACATATATTTGCTGAATTAGGTTTAAATAAGCAAATTTGGAAATCAGCTAAAAAAAAAGCTGAAATGAGAAAAAAAAAACAGCTGAAAAGTAGCTGAAAAGGCAAAAAGAAGCTTAAACTAACAGAAAGAAGTGGAATGAGCTCAAAAAATTTGGAAGTAGCTGAAAAAGCTAAAATTTACATTAAACCGCTAAATACTAGCTGAAATAGCAGATAAAGCTGAAACTAGCAGCAAAAAAACTGAAAGGAGCATAACAAGCTGAAATTAGAAAAAAATAAGTTAATTAGGCTGAAAGTAGCAGAAATTACCAAGAAACGCTTGAATTTATCTGAAAACCTATGTAATTACCTAAAGATTTTTGAAGAAGATAGCTGACAAGGTAAAATAAGCTTAAATTAGTAGAAGGCAAAAAGAACACGTTTTCTGAAAGAAGCAAAGATTAGCACAAAAAGAAAAAAAGCTAAATTTGCAACAAAAAAAAAAGATGTAAGAAGTAGCTTAGAAAGCAGAAAGAAGATTAAATTACAAGAAGGAAATGGAGAGAGCATATTTTTGCTGAATTAGGCTGAAAAAAGTTGAAATGAGTGCAGAAAATGTGGAATCAGCTGAAAAAGCTTAAATTAGCATAAAACAACTAGCGGACTCGCCACCATACATGTCGCACAGCTGTATACCGGTAAGTTGCATTAGTCCAAATATGTCTAATAAAGTGGGAAAAAAACATAAATACGTTGCTTCGCTGTATACATTGCATCTATTACGCGCCACCACTGACCCCCCGGAAATGTGCCAAATAGCAGCCACGGGAGCGTGCACGGGAGGACTTTAACATTTTTACAAGATTAACACTTAAAAACAATTTGTTTGCTCAAAATTATAGTAAAGGTGTGTCTCAGTTGAACTTTTCCTTAATAAATGCACTTTGACGGTCAAATCAGCTGCATTTTCAAAAGCCGATATGCGGAAACATGAACGCGCAGAGGGCGACTCGCTGTCCATTTCTTCAAAATTTAACAAGATAACCACCTAAAATCAATTATTTGTTTGCTCAACATCATAGTAAAGGTGTGTCTCAGTTGAACTTATACTTAATAAATGCACTTCAATGGTCAAATCAGCTGCATTTCGCTGGGGCAGCGCAGTGAAATGAAGCTGATTTGACAGTTGCGCCAGGCGAGCAGGACGAAGGTGGCAGCTGTGGCAAGCCGACTGTGTCATTAATAGCCACTTTTTACCTATTACATTAGACAACGGCATGCCATACTACTCTGCTGCCATCTAGTGGCTGAAAATGGTAGTGTTCAATATTTTCAGTCAGAATGAACGAAAACGGTCATATCTCAGCCAAAAACTGGTTTATAAATATGGGAAAAAAATCCAAAAATACGTTGCTTCGGCATATAAGTCGCAGGGCATGTAAATTATGCAAAAAAAGTGACATATAGGCTGAAAAATTTGGTACCGTTTTACTGCTTTTAGCTCTAGCTACTGTTCTGCTGCTCAAAGTTTTGGCCCTATGTTTGACTTAATTTAGCCTGTTTAGCTGGTTTTAACTATAACACCTTCATTTTAGCTTCTTTAGCCAATTTCAGTTTCAGTTTTCATATTTCAGAAAACAAAACCAAAGCTACACTACTGTGGAAATATTTGTTATTTATAAGAAACCGTATTTATAAAATAAAAACTTGTTTAAAATAAAGTGTGGATAAATCTGGGCACCCTCATAATCAGTAACTGTGGAAACGCAGAGATACTTGGTGGAAACACCGACACCGGGATGCAAAACTCGTTTTTGTTTGGGGCGACCTGCTCACACTCGAGTCCCTCACCAGTGATGACGTCCCTGCAGCGTGCGCCACACACCCTCTCCCTGCCGCTCTGCTGGTCTTGAGTCTTCAACAGCCGGACCACCTCGGTGTAGTTCGCCACGACGGCCCCGTAGCGAGCGGCAGAGAGGGCGATGGCCAGGTTCATACGGGCGTCGTTGTGTTGACCTGAAGACGGAAAACAACAAGCAGAGTGAAAAAAAAGTACTTTTATTATTTACTGCCAAAAAATAAACAAGAGGCAGAGAAACTGAATGCTAAGACAGCTGAAATCTGCTGAAGCTGACACTGAGTTGGCCAAGCTAAAAGACACACAATAGCTAAAGGCCAAAAGTAGCTAAATACTAGCTCAAAGCTAAAAAAAAAAAATAGCACACAGAAAAGCTGAAAGCTCAAAGTGGCAACAATGTAAAAGTAGAAAAAGCCTTGCTAACAATAGCAAAAGGCTGGCTTAAAGCTAAATGTGATAGCTTTTTGCTACCTATATAAGATAAGATAGAACTTTATTGATCCCGCAGGAAATTGTTGTGCCAGAGTTTCAGTACAACAGAGCATACACAAGGAATTACACAAAATATAAAAAATAACAGAGAATATATAAAAATACCAGCAATTAAGATCTAAACAGGTCAGATGCAGACATGTGTGAAATGTTATAATGTGAAAAAAATATCTAAGAACTTAGAGTAGCAAAAGGCTAAAATTAGCAAAAAGCTAGCTACAAATCTAAAGGTAGCATAAGGATAGGTAAAAGTAGCTAAATACTATCTCAAAGCTAAAAGTAGCACACAGAAAAGCTGTAAGCTCAATGTGGCAACAAGCTAAAAGCAGAAAAAGCCTTGCTAAAAATAGCAAAAGGCTGGCTAAATGTGATAGCTTTTTGCTACCTTTACCTAAGAACTTAAGAGTAGCTAAAGGGTAAAATTAGCAAAAAGCTAGATACAAAGCTAAAGGTAGCATAAGGATAAGTAAAAGTAGCTAAAGGTTTGCTAAAGGCTAAAATTAGCAAAGATCTAGCTAAAAAGCTAATGGTGGCATAAAGATAGGTAAAAGTAGCAAAAGGTTAGCTAAAGGCTAAAATGATCGGAATGCTAGATACAAAGCTAAAGGTAGCATAAGGCTAGGTAAAAGTAACAAAAGTTTAACTAAAGGCTGAAATTAGAAAAAACCTAACTACAAAGCTAAAGGTAGCATAAAGCTAGGTAAAAGTAGCAAAAGGTTAGCTAAAGGCTAAAATGATCAAAATGCTAGATACAAAGCTAAAGGGAGCATAAGGATAGGTAAAAGTAATAAAAGGCATGCTAAACCTAAAAAATTGCTAAAGGCTGGCTAAAAAGCAAAAAGTAATGAAACACTATTTAGGAACTAAATATAGCAGAAGTATAGCTGAAAGCTAAAAGTAACAAAAGGCTAATTAAAAGGTAAAAGAAGAAAAAGGCAAACTAAAAACTAAAAGTGGCAATGGGCAAGCTAAAAGGCTAAAAGTATCAAAACACTAGCTTAAAGCTACAAATCGCTAAATGAAGAGATAATCTTAAAGGGGTAGACCGGATGTTATGAAGTGGGGTTCTGCGGCAGGATTAGCTAACAGCTAGTCTGAGCGAGGCAAACACCATCATCTGAAAACAGCTTCAGTTTCAAAACATTTATAATTATTCATAATATAAGCTTTTATATTACCATCAGTTTTGAATTACATGGCCACCCTCCACAAAGGCAAAAGGTGGGGATGGTGTTTAGCCCATGTCTGTCTGTTAGCAAAATATGTCATGAACGACTTAATGGATTTTAATGAAACTCCCAGATCGTAATCACTTGATGAACATCTACAACTGATAGTTCAAGATGGCCGCCACAGGAAACTGACCTAAAAAAAACATAAGCATGTCTATAAATCAGTCCGTTTTATAGATATTGAGCTAAAATCAGGTGTGGTAGTAGCTGAGCATCATCTTCTACATATTCCGATTACATCTCAGCTTTTCTCAGTTTTTTTTTTTATCATTGAGTTTGTGGTAAAAAAATACTTCCTGGTTCCAAACGTAAACCTGACAAAAACTCCACTTTGGTTTTTCAGGAGATAATTTTAGGTTCATGTAAATTATTTTTGCTTTTTTTCATACAAAGAATATGACACGTCCTGCAGAAGCGCTTTTTTTTACTCAGACGACACATTTGTAAACATAAAACCACAAGTTAAAGAAGAAAGACGGCGTTTTTCCGCGGACTTCGGTTACACGAGCAGCATGTTAAATGAAAGCCTGCAGCCGATTCCTTTTGAGACGCCGGCCGCTCGGTTTCCGAGAGGAAAAGCAGGTCAGGTTGTCGGCGGTGGCAGCAGCCGTAACCACGGCAGCAGGAGAGAAAGATGCTGCGTCTCTGCACCGCCGGGAGAGAAGGTCAGATTTCTAAATGTCACGGGCGTGATTCTTCCAAACGGCATAATTGAAGGAAGAAAAAAAAAAAAAAACACCCCGAACCTCCACCGTCTCACCCCCACCTCTTCTCACCGCCCTGAGAGCAGACGATGGAGGAGGGGGAAGGAGATGCTGCTATGCACCGACAAAACGCTCCTTTTCAGCTTGGAGAGCGCGGATTGAACTACTTTAATATGGTTTTAAATCCAACAGGAAATCTGGAGAAATTAAAGCGTTAAATCTCCCGCCGCCTTTCACGTCAAACTGTCTCATGCAATAAAACGAAAGCTTGTGGCTCTCACCATCATAGTAGACAATGGCGGCGACAAGCTTGTCCTTCTTCAGCATGGGGAAAAGCTCCAAGGCCTTGGACTTGCTGAGGACGTAGCTGCTCTTCAGGCACTGGACCCCGGCCACCAAGTCGTACATCTTGATTCCCGCCCAGTAGTAAGGCAGCTGCCACCACCTTCCAATAAACCACGTGAATTAATCAACAACAAATAAACAAAACTCCTCGTGGTTCCCCTCCTCCTGACACTCACTTGTACACAGGAAGCATGATGGGTAACGGCGCCGAAAGGTGTGGCGCAATCTCCAGCAGGTTGGCTCGCTCGTGCAAGGCTTCTTTCACCATCAGGTACTGATTTATGTCAAAAACAAGAATAATTAGAGAAATCGCATTTCCAGCGAAAACGCAGTGTGAATGCTTATTGTAGAAGAACTTGCTGAAAACAGCTGAAAGTAGCTACAAACATGCTGAAATGTAGCTGAAATGGATGAACAAGCTTAATTTAGTTTAAATAAGCAGAAATTAGCACAATTAGTAAATTAGCTTATAAAAAGCTGAAATCAGCAAGAAATAGCTGAAAAGTAGCTGAAACGGCAGAAATAAGCTTAAATTACGAGAAGGAAGTGAAGAAAGCACAGCTGTGCCCATTTAGGCTGAAAGAAGCAGAAATGTGCACAAAAATGTAGAAATTATCAGAAAAAAGCTTAAATTTGCCCAAAAAACAGCTGAATAGTAGCTAAAAAAAGCAGAAAGAAGCTGAAATAACTAAAAGGAAGTGGACAGAGCACAGTTGTGCACAATCAGGCAGAAAGAAGCAGAAATGAGCACAATTAGTAAATTAGCTTAAAAAAAAGGCTGAAATTAGCAAGACATAGTTGAAAATTATCTGAAACGGTAGAAAGAAGCTTAAATTACCAGAAGGAAGTGGAGAGAGCACAGTTGTGCCCAATTAGACTGAAAGAAGCAGAAATGAGCACAAAAAAGTGGAAATTGTCTAAAAAAATAAATAAAAAAGCTGAAATTAGCACAATTAGTAAATTAGCTTATAAAAAGCTGAAATCAGCAAGAAATAGCTGAAAAGTAGCTGAAATGGCAGAAAGAAGCTTAAATGACGAAGGAAGTGGAGAAAGCACAACTGTGTCCATTTAGGCTGAAAGAAGCAGAAATGAGCACAAAAAAGTGGAAATTGTCTAAAAATAAATAAATAAATGAAAAAAAGCTGAAATTAGCAAAAATCAGCTGAAAAGTAACTAAAAAAGCAGAAAGAGGCTTAAATTACCAGAAGGAAGTTAAAAGAGCACAATTTGTGCTGAATTAGACTGAAAAAAGTTGACGAAAGTGCAAAAAAATGTGGAATAAGCTGAAAAAGCTCAAATTAGCATAAAAACTGCTGAATAGTAGCTGAAATAGCAGAAAAAGCTTAAACTTGCCGAAATAAGATGAAATTTGCTGAAATAAGTTAGAAGAGGCATAAAAGATTTTCTAGTTAGAAGAAAGATCCTGAAAAGAGTACAAAACTGCTGAAAAAGCAGCTGATATTAGCTGAAAGTAGATGGAAAAAAGTTTAAATTTGCACAAGGAAGCTGAAGCAGAACAAAATGTAAAAGGAGCGGTTGTAAACAGATCTAAAGATTTGAAGGAGGTAAAATGAGCTCAATTCATTTTCTATGAGACAAAGTGGCAGAAAAGGCTAAATATTTCAAAAAGCTAAAGTTGTATCTATACGAAATATAAACAGGATCACAATAGTGTGAATGATTAGTAAACATTCACACAATAATCAGACCAAATGGCAGTGAACGACTGGACGAAACGATGAGCGGGTGAAAGTGAACCTGTTCGTAGTCCAGCCGCATGATGGCCTTCTGGAGGTAACGGACTCCACCGTGGATCAGCTTCGTGCTTCGGCTGCTGGTGCCCGAAGAGAAGTCGCTTCGCTCCACGAGGGCAGTTTTCAGATCTAACGCAAACATAACAGAAGAGCAGGGACAACGTGAAGTAGCAAAAGGCTGGCTAAAAGCTAAAAGTAGCAGAACAGTGACTAAAAGTAGCAAAGCTATTAGAGTAGCAAAAGGCTAAATTAAAGGAAAAAGTTGGAAAAAAAAAAAAAACCTAAACTAAAATATATAGATAACTTATTTTAAATTTAAGCTTTTTAATATACCGTAAATATTTCTTTATAATTTTACTCAGGACTTTTTTCCCCTCAACAAAAACAGCTCGTTTTGGTTTAAATGTTCTTTAACCCTGAAAACTTCAGCATTTTTTCCCCAAGACATGGTGCATGAAACATTGCTGAAAACAAACAAATGTGAATGTTTTTTCAGTTTGTGTGTCTGTGTAAAATCGATCTAAAACAAAAAAAAATATATATATAAACTTAATAAGACAAAAAAAAAAGGTCTATGTTCTATTTTAAGTGTTTTGTCTTCAGAAAATCGCACAATTCAATTTAAAACGACTATATTGCACATTTTAAAACACAGTATTATCGGTAGGTGTTAATCACCCACCAGCATTAGCGCATCTGTGTCGATTTGTTAATGCTGTTAGCAAAATATCTCAAGAACTAGTGGATCAATGTTAATGAAACACAAAACATGGGCTTAACTAAAGCTTGGCGTGGTAGTAGCTGAGAGTCATTTACAACTGTATTTCTAAGGAGAAAATATTTGTGAATAAAGTAAAATATTTAGAAAAGTTCACAGCGCCCATCGCCTGAACAAGCTGAACCTTTTGATACCTGAGCAGCTAAAATAAAGTGTGCACAAGTAGAAACGGAAAGAAACACAAATGCTCAGAACAATTAAAAACCGAGGATTCAAGCCGAAGACTTGTTGATCTTACTGCGCGTGACGGCGTCTAAGGCACATCCTGCCCCCGTGGCCCCGCCCCCGACCACCAGGACGTCAAACTCCTCGGCGTCTCGCAGCGCCGCGAGCTGGGCCTGCCGAGACGGGAGCTCATCTGTGTATGGGACCTTAAGCTCAGCTTCTGCTGTGACCTGAGCTATTTGGGCCTGAACAGGACATAAAGGAAAGTAGTGAGCTTTCAGCCTGAAACAGAAACTTTTAATACTTTGTGGAGAAAAGTTGTAGTTTCGGTGAAGTTAGATGGAAGAAAGTTGCTTGAAGGGCTTGAAAACATAAGCATGCTGCTAATAAATTATTCTGGCATTATAAAATAAGATATGATGCATCATGATTTGCAGTCATTTCCATACATTATGGATCTGTTGAGTAATGAAATGCTGTAAGAGCTGCTAACTTCTGATACAGTTTCAGGGCTATTCAACTGGCGGTCCGGGGGCCAAATCAGGGCCCACGGATGAGCTCAGTTGGGCCCACCAATGGGTTCATTTGAGAATTAATTTGTCAATGTGCCTCAGTAATAAATTCACATTTCCAGGTGTTGATCTGTTCCAAACATCAGTTTTTTGTGAATTTTGATCCGTTTTTTTGTTTTGTTTTGTTTGTTTTTTTGATACCGAAAAATCTTGGCTTTAATGGAGTGAAGAGATTTGCAAAAACATGTTTTAGATTAAAGTTGGGACTTTTAAAAAACAATAAAATAATTAAACTGTAACTCAAATTTGGAACGGGACTTTTGATGATTTTTCTCGAGGATCTGTGGAAAATTTTGACTTTGTTGTTCCGCTAAGACAATACAACGTCCGGCACCCAAGTAAGCTCACATGATGATACTACCTCCACCATGTTTCAGAAATAAGATCAAGATTTTTAAGCTAGAAAAGTAGCACTTTATTGTCAACAAACTCCGCATTTAAACTACAAATATAAAACAGGTTTCATCTAAACAAGCAGAAAAAGTTCTTTTTCAGAGGTCCATCTTTGTTTTTATACATTTAAAAGAGGGATTCCCAACCATGGTCCTTGAGGAACACCATCCTGCATGGTGCTGTTGCTTCTCCGCTTCAACACATCTAATTTGAATGAACGGATGATTAACAGGCTTCTGCAGAACTTCAGAAAGTACCAGTAATTAAATCACTGAATCAGGTGTGCTAAAGCACAGAAACAACTAAAATATGCAGGATGGTGTTCCTCAAGGACCACAGTTGGGAACCACTGATTTAGATTGTATCTGCTCTAATTCAATAGACAAATTTCACCTTAGTAAATACAAAATTAGCTATAACTAAGTCAATTTTACAAACATTTTTTATAAAATTTTACAGTAGTAGCGGGCAGCTAGCCCCAAGACAAACTCCAAGGGCTAACATGTTGTGTGAGATCTTGTGATGTTGCAAGTTTGACCATAACTGTGTAAAAATTGGATCTTTGTTTAAAATAACTATAAAAAAGTGTAAAATATATTTAATCAGGTTGTTTTATCAAACTTTAGGACTTGATATTTTTGTGGACATAAAAAAAACAACTAAAGGATGGAAGGAAAATATATTTTAAAAATTCCCTTCAATTTTGTGTAACACGTTTGTATTTATAAAACAATTTAAATAAAAAAGTTTTGGGAACTCCATCCCCATATAAACGTGCATTTTTTTTCATTTATTTTAGTCATAAAATAGTTTGAAATTTAAACTATTTTTATATAATGTGCAAATTAAGACGTAAAATGAGAATGTGAGTACAGGATTCCTTCGATACATCGCAGTTAAACTTTCGTGAACTCACTCTTACGCGAGTTTTCAACGTAAGATTGTACACGACACACGATTGGCTGATTAATGGAGTGAGCCGCTCGAGCAGCTCACTCAGGTATAAGACAGACCCCCCCCCACTTCCTTTCTCTTGCTGAGGTTGTCTGTCACAGCAGAGGCAATGGGAAAAGACAAACCCCACCCCCTCCTTTCTCTTTCTCTGCTGTGACAGACAGCCTCAGAAAGAGAAAGGAGGGGGCAGGGGGTGAGGTCTGCCTTTCCCCATTACTACTACTTGGAGTGCAGATATTCAAATTTAGTTTCTGATGGAATAAGTTTCAGTCCATGAGCAGGGATGAACAGATCAGATGAACAAATGTAAGTATCGGAGGAAATGCTTGGGTGGAAAAATAAGAGTGAATCAGTTTAAAAAAAGAGAGTGCCTGAGTGCAGCTCACTCAGGTATGACAGACCACCCGCCCCCTCCTTTCTCTTTCCGAGGCTGTCTGTCACAGCAGAGAAAAAGAAAGGATGGGGCGGGGGGTGAGGTCTGTCTTTCCCAACTGTGTCCCAGAGACACACAACGGGCAGGTGTGCAACAGACATCCTCAGAAAAAGAAAGGAACGGGCGGGGTGAGCCACATGAGCGGCATGGATTGTTTATTTAAAATAATCAAGCGCTAACGTTGTTAAGAACATTGCAAGAGTGTGGGAAGGGTTTTATAAAGCCTTAAAATATATAAATGCTAAAATAAATGTAACGTCCCTATTTCGCGGTTTTTCACGTATCACAGGGGTGTCTGAAACGTAACCCCCACAATAAATGAGGGGACTACTGTAAATCTATTACCGTATTTTTCGCACTATAAGTCACTTTTTTTTGCATAATTTGCATACCCTGCGACTTACATGCTGAAGCGACATATTATGGTTTTTTTTCCCATATTACAGTATAAACCAATTTTTGGCTGAGATATGACTGTTTTCATTCATTCTGACTGAAAATATTGAACACTACCATTTTCAGCAGCTAGATAACAGTGGAGCAGTATGGTATGCCGTTGTATCATGTATTAGGTAAAAGTGGCTATTAATGACACAATCGGCTTGCCATAAGCTGCCACTGTCGTCTGCCTGGAGCAACCATCAAATCAGCTTCATTTCACTGCGCCGCCCCGGTGAAATGCAGCATATTTGATCACTGAAGTGCATTTATTAAGTAAAAGTTCAACTGAGACACACCTTTACTATAAAATCGAGCAAACAAATAATTGTTTTAGGTGGTTATCTTGTTAAATTTCAAATAAATGGACAGCGAGTTGCTCTCTGCGCGTTCATGTTTCCGCAAATTGGCTTTTGATATACAGATGATTTGACTGTCAAAGTGCATTTAAGGAAAAGTTAGAATAAGACACAACTTTGCTATAATTTCGAGCAAACAAATAATTGTTTTTAAGTGTTACTCTTGTTAAATTCTTGTTAAAGTCCTCCCGTGCACGCTCCCGTGGCCGCCATTTGACAGCCAATCGATGGCACAACACTGTCCCACATTTCCGGGTTGTCAGCGGTGACTAGGCCTGTCGTGATAAACAAAAAATCAATTAATCGCATGATAAATGAAAATTAGCAACCTCATTTTCATTTATCAGCTTTATCGTTTCTTCGTGTCTCTCTCTTTCTACTGAAGACACTGGATGACAAAAGTCTCAACTCCGGTGCTCTTCAATGACTTCTCCCTTTCTCTTTAAAATCTGTTTAACCGTCCAAAATCGCATTTTTAGATCGTTAAAAGCAGCTAAGCTGAGAAGCTAAGTTACGAGCTAAGATAACAGGCCAACTTAAGGAAAAAAAACCTCTGTCTTGTCGAAGCTCCAAAATTCACGGTTGAAACCTGTGTCTTTGTGTAAAAAGTTTTTTTTTATTTTTTTAAAGAAGCTGAGAACTTGTTTATTGATTTGTTATTAAATGTTTTGTGTGAAAGATGCTATGCTAAAGAGCTCAAACCACACCGAGCGTCCGCCATTTTGAGAACTGAAGAGAGACAGCTCATGTCACGTCAAGGGTCCTCTCTCCCATTTTTCTTAAAGAGACACGCTGCTCACTCCCTCACTATCCCAGTGAGGGAAAAGTTAACAAGACTTTAACAAGAATTTAACAAGAGTAACACTTAAAAACAATTATTTGTTTGCTCGAAATTATAGCAAAGTTGTGTCTCAGTCTAACTTTTCCTTAATAAATGCACAACTACCCCCAGTATTTCATTGTTTCTGACTTTTGACACAACGTGATCCGATTTAGTATTTCATTGTTTCTAATTATGTTTTCGGTTTTATATTTTTATTCCATGTGCTGTAAATTTATCTTGCTACTTTTTATTTGATGATGTGATATTTTTGTTAAGCACTTTGGTAACAGTTTCTGTTTTAAATGTGCTCTATAAATAAATCTGACTCACTATCCATCCTTCAGTTCAAACAGTCTTATACTGCCATCCGGTGGTCAAAAAGAGGTATTACACTCAAAATAATATTAAACAAAAATTACTTATTATTGTCAAATTTCAAACAATATTATTATTTATCGCAATAATTTCTGAGACAATTATTCGCCCAGCAAAATTTGTTGTTGTGACAGGCCTAGCGGTGACGCGTAATAAACACGACACGTTAGCTGTGACGCATAATCGATGCGACGTATACGGTGAAGCAATGTATTTATGGATTTCTCCACTTTATTAGACATAATTTGGACGGATGAGACTTATAGGGCGGAAAATACGGTAGATATTTTACTGATGATTTTTGTTAATACAGTATTTCTAAAAGAAGCGAGCTTTTACTCTTCAACTTACAACGGGTTCTCTGAAAATATTTTAGCTGGAACAGATTTCCAGCTGTGTGTATAAAGTCTTGCATCACTTTATTGTCCGAGTAAAGCATTGCAGGAGAAGAGAATAAAACTAGTAGCTTAGGAAAAAAAAACAGCTGCAAAGAGTTACTTCATGCCGGCTCACCTTCACAGAAGCACAGAATTAAGCACATTCCAGCCATTAAACATCGCATGTTGATTAGAAACATAATTAATTTAAAGGAATAATCACAGCTAAACCAGCTTCCTTTTGATTTATAGAATTATTTCACTTCTAATGAAATATTTATTCAGTTTTCTTCTCTTAGCGACTCAAGCTAAATGATTGCATCAAGCTGCTTTGAAGCCACCACCACATTTGACTTGCAAATATTAGCGGGCGTTTTTTTTTTTTATAATTTAGGTCTGCGCCCGCAAACGAGGCAATGATGTATTCATAGTCTATTTTTGTTGATGCTCACAGACAAACAGACCCCCCACCCCCCCTGCTGTAATCAAGTTAATAGCCAATCGGCCGCTGCGCTCCGAACCTTCCCCGAGCCTCATGCCTTTGCTAAAGAAGACAAGATGGACATTCATCTCATCAGCACTGCAATTATTGGGATTAGAAGCATGCATGATTACAAACTATTGTGAGAAATAATCAGATTTCATCAGGTTCGACTTGTTGCTTACCCGTCCATGCTTGGTTTGGAGGACGACCAAATTATCGGACCAGGACACAAAACAAAGTTCGCGTTAGTCTGGCACGAGGTGTAAAATGCGCTGCAGGTCTAAAACAAGCCGACACTAGGTCGGAGCAAACAGCTGCTTGATGACTTCTGGTGGCAAAGCTCGTGTCGTTGACGTCGAGCCTCGACAAAGTTCAGGTGTTTGGGGAGCAAGCCATCACCTGACTACTGGAGTCGACTCCGACTGTCTGTTAGCAGAATATCTCAAACTGCAGAGTGGATTTTATTGAGACTTTCAGGAAGTGATCATTAGATGTACATCTACAACTGCCAAACTTTTTGAATGAATCCAATACAAGGTGTCTGCCACAGTTAAGTGATCTTACAAAACATAAAAAAGGCTAGAATTCCATAATTTTGACAGATATTCAGCTAAAGTGTGGTGTAACAGTTGCATCGTTCTCAACGTATTCATTAAAAGCTAATGATTCTGATCTATTCTAAAAATGTTTTCATTAACTAAACTTCTTCTTTTTCTTTTGGCTTCCCTCATCGGGTGTTGCCACAACGAGTCATCCTCCTCCATCTCACTCTGTCCTCACTCCATCTACCTCCATGTCCTCTCTAACTGCATCCATATATCTCCTCTTTGTCTTTTTCCTGGCAGCTGCATTTCTAACATCCTTCTACCAGTATATCAACTGTCCCTCCTCTGGACATGTCCAAACCATCTCAGTCTGGCCTCTCTAACTTTATCTACCAGTTGTTCAACCTGTGCTGTACCTCTGATGATCTCATTCCTAATCTTATCCATCCTTGTCACTCCTAAGGAGAACCTTAACATCTTCATTTCTGCCACTTCCAGTTCTTTCTCCTGTCTTTTTGTCCATGTCTCTGTCTCCAGACCATACAACATAGCTGGTCTCACCACTGTCTTGTAAACTTTTCCTTTGACGTTTGCTGACACCTTTTTGTCACAAATCCCTCCTGAAACTTTTCTCCATCCACTCCATCCTGCATGGACTCTCTTCTTCACCCCTTTACCACACTCCCCATTTTCCTGGACGGTGGACCCCAAGTACTTGAAGTCCTGCACCTTTGTGACCTCTGCTCCTTGTAGCCTCACTGTTCCACCGGCCTCCCTCTCATTCACACACATGTACTCCATCTTACTACGATTGACTTTCATTCCTCTTCTTTCAAGTGCATACCTCCACCTCTCCAAGTTCTCTTCCACCTGTTCCCTGTTCTCACCACAGATCACAATGTCATCTGCAAAAATCAAAGCCCACTGGGATTCCTGCCTGACCTCATCTGTTAGTCAGTCCATCACCAGAGCAAACAAGAAGGGGCTCGGAGCTGATCCTTGATGCACTCCCACCTCCATCTTGAAGCTACAGTGCCTTGCGAAAGTATTCGCCCCCCCCCCTTGAACTTTTCAACCTTTTGCCACATTTCAGGCTTCAAACATAAAGATATAAAATTTTTATTTTTTGTGAAGAATCAACAACAAGTGGGACACAATTGTGAAGTGGAATGAAATTTATTGGATGTGTCAAACTTTTTTAACAAATAAAAAACTGAAAAGTGGGGCATTCAATATTATTCGGCCCCTTTACTTTCAGTGCAGCAAACTCACTCCAGAAGTTCAGTGAGGATCTATGAATGATCCAATGTTGTCCCAAATGACTGATGATGATAAATAGAATCCACCTGTGTGTAATCAAGTCTCTGTATAAATGCACCTGCTCTGTGATGGTCTCAGGTTTCTGTTCAAAGCGCAGAGATGCAGCCAAGAGGCCCATGATCACTCTGGATGAACTGCAGAGCTCTACAGCTGAGGTGGGAGAGTCTGTCCATAGGACAGCAGGGACAGGGAAGATGGTCAGAATTGATGGGAAGATGGATGGGGCCAAATACAGGACCATTCTGGAAAAAAACCTGTTTAGTCTGCAAGAGACCTGAGACTGGGACGGAGATTTATCTTCCAACAAGACAATGATCCAAAACATAAAGACACATCTACAATGGAATGGTTCACAAATAAACGTATCCAGGTGTTGGAATGGCCAAGTCAAAGTCCAGACCTGAATCCAATCGAGAATCTGTGGAAAGAGCTGAAGACTGCTGTTCACAAACGCTCTCCATCCAACCTCACTGAGCTCGAGCTGTTTTACAAAGAAGAATGGGCAAGAATTTCAGTGTCTCCATGTGCAAAACTGATAGAGACATAGCCCAAGAGACTTGCAGCTGGAACTGCAGCAAAAGGCGGCGCTACAAAGTATTAACGCAAGGGGGCCGAATAATATTGCACGCCCCACTTTTCAGTTTTTTATTTGTTAAAAAAGTTTGACACATCCAATAAATTTCTTTCCACTTCACGATTGTGTCCCACTTGTTGTTGATTCTTCACAAAAAATTACAATTTTATATCTTTTATGTTTGAAGCCTGAAATGTGGCAAAAGGTTGAAAAGTTCAAGGGGGCCGAATACTTTCGCAAGGCACTGTACTTGTCACTCCTACAGCACATCTCACCACTGTCCTGCTGTCCTCATACATGTCCTGTACCAGTCTAACATACTTCTCTGCCACTCCAGATTTTCTCATGCAATACCACACCTCTTCCCTCAGCATCCGGATTGACCTACCTGCAGTCCTTACCCCTGTCCCCTTGAGCAGCTGCAGGATCAACCTGAATGGGCGGTTTGTTCCAGAGTGAGCAACACAAACACTTGAGTTGACTTGCGACAAATACTAGCTGAAGAACAGGATGCCATCCCAAGGTGAGGAGCATGAAAAGGAGGTGACAGGCTGTTGTGGCTGTGTGTGGTTCTTCCACATGCTACTCAGGCCCTTGGTTGGTTTCTTCAAACAAAGGTCAGAAGCAGGAGAAGCCATCTTTCTTTCATTCACAGTGAAGATTTGGTAAATTTTTCATGGACTCAACCAGCACGATCTTCTCTATTGCTCAATCCAGAAATATATTTTCCAAACAAATGTCAATTTAAATTAAATAAAACCTGTTCATTGTTCCCGTATTGTCCCCCATCACAGAGTGAAAAGTGGGAATTGGAAATACTCTCCAAACGTCCCTACATGTTGTGAGCGTGATAGAACTTGAAAAATAAGCGTGATACCAACATCCTATTTGGTGTGTGGCTGCATCTAGGTGTAAAAAAAAAAAATCCTTTCGAAAACTGGGTTGCCAGGTCAAAATCCAAGATGGTCGCTTCCATATATAAAAATACATGTATATAAACCAGCCACCCCTATCCTTTGAGGAAACTACGCTTTCTAGTTTTTATTATAGCTTAAAAGTATAGTTTTCTCAGATGACTGGGGTGGTCAAGGCCACCATTGGCCCCACTCTGGCTCCACCATTGCACCTGGAGGTGGATAAACTGTCTCCTTCCGTTCAACAGGTCAGGTTCCGGTCACTGTGCAGCCTTGGTCAAGAAAAATAAACATTTCTGTTCTTATACACAGCTAAACTTATCCCCACTTGAATATCTTGCACCAAAAAAAAACATTAAGGTTTACTCGCATTCCCTGTTCAATTTATGTCCAGGAAAACACTCATCTCAAAACTACAAACACCCACTACTCAAATCCCTCAGGGACGGGGGACATCGGCGTACTGCTTGTTTTATTTAAAAAGACATAAACAGACTTTGTAATTGAATGGGATTTATTGCCAAGAAGCCTTTTTACAACAAACTAATAACTGGCCAAACACCAATGTCTTTACTTGATGTACTATGTTCATTTGGAGTCAACTCTGTCTGTAAGCAAAATATCTCATGAACCACTGGATGAACTGAATGAAACGCTCAGAGTTATCACAGTCATTTGTAACTACAGTACCATAATTGTATGAATGTTTATGAAGCCTTCACACCATTGTGATCCATTTTTCGTCCCACAGTTTACAAGTTCTATCCATCCATCTTTAACCCGCTTCTTCCATTTTTGGGTCACGGGGTCACCGGTGCCCATGTCCAGCAATCACTATGCGAGGGGCGGGGTACACCCTGGACGGGTCTCCAGTCCATCACAGGGACACATAGAGACAAATGAGACAAACAACCATTCACTCTCCCACTCACACCTAGGGACAATTTAGAGTTACCAATCAGCCTAACATGCATGTTTTTGGTCTGTGGGAGGAAACCGGAGTACCCGGAGAAAACCCACGCATGCACGGAGAGAACATGCAAACTCCACCCAGAAAGGCCCCTGGACCGGGGTTTGAACCAAGGACCTGCTCGCTGAGAGGCAGCAGCTCTACCAGTTGCGCCACCGTGCTGCCTCAGTTTTCAAGCTATTTCAAGAAATCATGAATCAAAACATTCAGCTCTTTCAGATCAATCCTGGATTTGGAAATATTTTAGCTTTTTTTTTTTTGCCTTTTTTTCTCATAGAAAATGAATTGAGATCATTTTACATCCTTCAAATCTTTAGATCTGTTTACAAGCTTTGACCGCTCCTTTCACATTTTGTGCTGCTTCAGCTTCTTTCAGCTTCCTTGTGCAAATTTAAACTTTTTTCAGCTACTTTCAGCTGTTTTGTGATCCTTTCTGATTCTTTCTGCTAACTACAACAGTGCTTGCTCTAACTTATTTTGACTAATTTCAGTTCAATATGCTCCTTTCAGCTTATTTCTGCAAGTTTCAGCTTTCTACTAGTTCAGATACAATATAGCTGTTTTATGCTAATTTAAACTTTTTCAGATAATTTCACATTTTTGGCACTCATTTAAACTTTTTTTCAGCCACACTGAGCAAAAATGTGCTCTCTCCACTTCCTTCTTGAAATTTCAGCTTATTTCTGCTTTTTTAGTTACTTTTTAGCAATTTTTTTTGTTGTTGTCGTTGCTAATTTCAGCTTGTTTCAGAAAACGTCTACTTTTTTGTGCTCATTTCTGCTTCTTTCAGCCTAAGGCTGAGCAAATGTGTTCTTTATACTTTCTTCTGCTAATTTAAGCTTGTTCTACCTTTTCAACTACCCCATTTTTTGTTTGTTTGTTGTTGTTTTGTTTTTTTAGCAATTTTTAGCTAATTTCAATTTTTTTGTGTGGTAATTGCTGCTACTTTCATCCTAATTAACGTATTTATGCTAATTTCAGCTTGTTATGCTCCTTTCAGATTATTTCTGCTAGTTTCAGCTTTTTTTGCTATTTCAGCTACTATTTTGCTGTTTTATGCTAAATTTAGCTTTTTCAGCTAATTCCACATTCTTGGAGCTCATTTCAGTTCTTTCTGCTTCGTTTTAGTAGTTTAAGCTTCTTTCTGCATATTCAGCAAATTTTTGCTAATTTCAGCTTTTTTAGCTAATTTTTGCCCTAATTTCTGCTTATTTAAACCTAATTCAGCACCTAATGCCGAACCTAATGCTTTCTTCTACTATTGGCTTCTTCTTCCATTTCAGCGAAATTTCAGCATGTTTTAGCTAATTTCAGCATGTTTTTGGCTAATTTCAGCTGTTTTTCAGCAAGTTCTTCTGCAATTCCGCAGGAAATGCAATTTCTCTAGTTGACTTTTTTAGTCAACCATGTTCAAGATGGGCCCCCACAGCTAAACAGTCTTGCTTTTTTTTGTGGTAGCCATCTTGAATCAGGTGGACTCCTGACGTCAAACGGTTATAAACGGATATTCAGTCAAACTGCTCCAGTTCGTGAGATATTTTGCTAACAAACAGGCACACACAGACGTGGGCAATATCATAATACATGATCATCTACCTTCGCCTTTTTGCGGCGCAAAATATTGTGAAATCAAAGTTTTACACATAATCTGCCAAACTCTAGATGAGCAGCCAAAGCTCACCTGCTTCTTCCGGTACGCCATCAGCTGCGACACTCCGAACCCAGCAGCGACCGCGCCGCCTCCTATGACCGCCGTCCGTCTCAAGACTTTCCTGAACGCCATGAGCCCTTCAAAGTGAAAGTTACAGGAGACAGAGCGGGGTTACAAAGGGCTGAATAAAGATGAGGAGGGAGGACTTATCTCTGACATTTAAACCAGAAACTCAAGATAATCACTATGTACGTCCAGTGGAGCAGCATTTCTCCGTTTCATGAGCTGCAGAAGATGGAAAAGACACGTCACTTACCCCGACCAGCATCTATGAACAACCCTGCTGCCCTTGGGTCAAATGACCAAGAAACCGAGGCCCTGCTTCAGCATATTAGCTATTTTAACCATTTCTAAACCAAAATGTTCAGCTCGTTTATGACGGTGACTTTTTATTTTTGATCATTTTAAATTCCGAAAACATCAAATGATTTCAAACGTCCTGCTTTTTTGAAACCATCTTTCAAAGCTTTTGATACTCTGGACCATGACATCTTGTGTCATAACTCTCAGAAACTGGTTTCACAGATCACACTATTGGTTGGTTCTCTTAACCATCAGAGCAGAGGCAATGTGTTCGACATAATGGTACTTGTTCCAGTTATCGAACTGTTAATGGTGTACCGAGCGAGGTCTGTGTTATTAGTGGTTTTGAATTTATAAAGGCGTTTTTGCCACAGTTTGAAGGAAAACCATGCACTACAATAATAAAGCTTTACAATGGTATACAACTGTCTAAACAAGAAAACACAGATTATATCAAGAAGAAGTGAATGTGAATATAGAAAATTAGGAAAATAAAAAAGTCAAATACAGTGGATGTGTACTGGGTCAAATGCATGGTAAGAATTTGGATGGAAGAATGTGGTGAGATTTTTTTGTGACACCTGCACAAAAACGATATCCGGGATCAGGAGAGGCTAGTTGGAGAATCTGTGGTACAGCAAAAGCCACTCACTACCATATTTTTGGGCGTTGTCAAGTTATTCAAGATTACTGGGTCAAACTTCATAAACATGTTAACAATTGGTTCAAACATTCCCTTCAAGTGGGAGACCATACACCTAGGAGACCTGACTCTGGACCACTGGGATGCACATGATGAAAAATTACTTTATATGTTGTTAGTGGCCAGTAAAAACACAATAACCAAAAAATGGCTAAGATTGATAACTGGATTGAAACAGTACACGATAAATTTATAATGGAAAAACTGTCCTATTCTCTAAAGGTGCAAACAGATACATTTTATTCAATTTGGAATAAATGGACTGAATATGTGAAACCAGTCGGATCAGACTTTATGTAATTGTATTCACAATGAGGATTGATTGTCTTTGTTTTTGTCTTTGATTCAATCTGCACTCTACTTCGGACTGTGTTGCCCCATTCTTTGTCAACATCCTTGAATTTCGATTCCCCAGGACCACGCATGACCCTCCCCACCCCCACCTCCTTCCACACACACACACACACACACACGATTTCATTTAGTTTCTTTTTTAAAAATAAATTTTTTTGGAAAGATAAGTGATGTAATGAAGACATGTTTCTTTCACTGTTTGTGTATTTTCTCAAAGAGAAAAAATAAAATATATATAAACAAAAAAACAATGGTGCACCACAAGGCTCAGTCTTAAGACCCACCCTCTTCACAATCTACATAGGTAATGTAAGTCAGAGCATCCCTGATGCATCTTTACATTTCTATGCTGATGACACAGTTGTTTCTTGTCGAGATAAAACAGTTGCTAAAGCTTTCCAGCTTTTGCAATCCGCTATTGACATCATCCAGTCAGATTTGTTCCGTCTCAAACTTGTCCTAAATGCCGACGAAACCAAAGGGATGTTGTTTGCATATAAGAAGTCGGTCCCCAACAGTTCTTCCCTCGATTTTATCCTCAAATGGTGTCCCTATTGAGTTTGTCAATTCCTATAAATATTTGGGTATTTCGGTCGATTCGCATCTCTCTTTTAAGCTCAACGTGGAAAACTTGGTAAAGAAACTGAAAGTTGAACTGGGTTTCTTTTTCAGAAATAAATCCTGTTTAACTCTGAACGCTAGGAAACACCTTGTAACTGCGACGTTCCTTCCCTCCACTGACTACCGTGACATTATTTACATTAACGCCCCTACAAGCACCTGCAGATGTTGGATGCTGTCTATCACGGTGCGCTAAGATTCATAACTGGCTGCACCCTGTATTCACTGGTTAACTGGTCATCATTAACTTGACAGACTCTCTCACTGGTACATTTTCATCTTTAAATCGCTTCTTGGTCTGCTGCCTTCATACATCTCCTCCTACATGTCTCTGCGTGAGTGCAGCTACAGCGTGCGCTCATCTAGTGTTGTCATCACTCTTTGTTAAAATCATCTCTCTTGTAAATGAGTCCCCGAGGCTCAATGAGACTAACCTGTATAAATAAAGGTTGAATTTTAGTGGGTTGTTAAACATCCGACATACACCTACATTTTAAGCATTCCTGCTTCATTTTAGCTACTGTTTGACAAACTTTTGCTTTCATCTACCATGTTACTACATTTAATAATAATAATGATGTGTTATGTATTGTGTATGTTCCGATACAATGGCGAAATTGGCTCTCTGCATTTAACTCATCCACCACTAGGTGGAGCAGTAGGCAGCTACTGAAAGCACAGGGGAGCATTTTGGGGATAAGGTGTGCTGCTCAGAGACACCACAAGACGTGCAATGACTGGGGACCGAACCTGGGACTTTCAGTCCAGAGTCGGCTGCCCTGCCTCTACACCATCTCAGATTGTAGCTACGGCTTTGCTACATTTAACTTTTAGCTGTGATGTTGCAAACTTTAGCTATTATAAACAGTGTCGCTTATTTTACCTCTCAGCGCTAGCTTAGCCATTTTTAGCTTCCAGCTACTAGTTTTAGCAGTGTGCCGGCCGAAAGCTTCAAAACAAAATGGTGGTTAAAAGCACAGCCAAAGATTCAAAACAGAACAAGATAAACCTTTTCTCACCTGAATCAAACATTATTTCAACTGTTAGGGGTTTGATATAGCGCAAGTGAAGCATCTTGTTCATACTCAAAAGTCAAGTAGCAGCTTTATAATCTACTAATCTTTTCCAAGTCCTTTTTTATTCATTTTACCTGTTAAATAAATTTAAAAAAGAACAATTGTGAGCTATAAAAATAGCTGCAGTGTATCTTAATGAGCTGAAGGATCTTTCTCCACTTTGTCACAGTTGAGTCATCTGAGGAAGGGTTCTTGGCTGTAACGAATCCACGTGTCTGAACTCTATTTAAATTCCTGTCATGTTTATAAAAACCTTATTTTACAGCTGCCCTGATCACAGCTGATGGTGGATTCTATCTTTACATTACACCGCCACACAAGAGGAGGAAGTTAGCTTACATGCTAATCATGTTGTAATTTAAAATGTCATCTCCATGTGGACTTTAAGGAGGTCGAGCTCTGCCTGTAGGCTTTACATTACATTGCGCTGTTATTATAAACTAGTTACCGCAGGAGAGGCTGTTTAAAGGCTTTAAAATAACCGCTAGGAGGAGATTAAAAACAAAACGTCGCTCCGCTTCCGGCTCTTTGCCAAATAGCAACAGACATTCACTCCGACTATAACACGTCCCAAAACCACCGGGTGACACAACAAACATCACCACTTACAGGATTTCTTGTTTCTTGTTGATAAAAACTCTGTCAAAGCAATGCGGACCGCCGCCTGAGCTGGATTCACGTGAATCACGCCTTTGGGCGTCTTTTACAATACAGGAAGCGCTGTGGAGCGACGTTCGTGAGAGCCAATCATAGCGCGCCGATTCGCTTCGCTCGTCCAATAGAATTTGAGGAAAGGCGGAGCCAAATTATTCCCGGAAAATGATGAAAGAGTATTGTTGGATTTGATATCTTTTATATCTTTTATATCTTTTGACAAGCCTTGATATTTCTCTGATGATGTGAAATGATGCATTCTCTACAAGGTGTGTGCGGGTATAATCATACACTAATTACTTCATGTTATATATAATCTCACAAGTGCTAAGGATAATCATACAAGTTCACATTTGATATAATTCTGAGGGAAACAGAGACAGGTAAGACACTTATTCGTGCAGCAGGAAACGATCCTTCTTTGTTCATCTGAGCAGAGCAGCTGAGAGTGAGGGCCCACCAATGTGACACACTGCTCACACGTTGATTAAACATAAATAACGCTAAATTACAACATTCATGTACTTTATACTTAAAACAGGTTGAGTATATATGCTTTCACATTAATAATAGTTCAGACACACAGAAAACGTGTTTTAAAGCTTTACACAGACGAGAGCCAGAGTAAAGTGTCCTGTGTTCCAAAACAAAGCTCGTAAATCAACCCTTATCAGTAAAAGAATGAGCAAGGCCGTCTGGAGTAACCATGGATAAGATCTGCTCCTGACTGGCTGAACAGGGTGTCACTCAGACCATCAAGAGGTTTTGACACCCAATCACAAGTCTGTCCGAACCCGAAAGGGCGGGACATGAGAAACCTATAAATCTCGCTCAGACACAAAGTTGGGTTGAACAAACATCGGCTGATTGACCAGGCAGGTTCATTCTGATTTTGTTCCTCAGACTGCACTCTGATTATATGTAATATCTGCATACTTTAACTTTGTCTCAATTAAATCTTTTATACTAAGGTGAAGTGCTCCTGAAATTCTGTGCTCGGGTCATTGGAACACCCCAAAAATCCTTCAGTATTCAACCTTTATGTAGACAGGGTTATCCCATTGAGCCTCTGGGACTCATTTACAAGAGAGGCCTGATTTCAACAAAGAGTGATGACAACAGTGAATAACAGCGACAACAGTAGACTATTAGACTATTAGTATACTAGTAGAATTATTATTATTATTTTTTTTTTAATAAATCAAAATAAATGGCCGATCGTTGTAACATTTAATAAAATCACTTGGAGAAAAATAGCAACAAAATGATGGTAAATGGTAAATGGACTGTATTTATATAGCACCTTTCTGTCTTATCGAGATACTCAAAGCACTTTACATTACAATCTGTGCCCTCATTTACCCATTCACCACAATACATTACAAATTTTAATAAAGTGCAATTGGTACCATAAACAATATTTTTAAAGGTAAAGCTATTAAAGTATTCTAATACTTTCAAATGGGGAATTAAAAATGTCTGGAATGAAAGATCTAGCATTACTTGAAGAATGTTTTGGGTGATGTTGATTATAGTGGCTATCTTAAATGATTTTGACTCCAGAAGTTAATGAGTTGTAGACGTACATTCAATCCAACAAAGTTAGGTCAGGTCCTCTGGACGGTTTCTTTCTTGTTGTTGAAACGTTTCACCCTTCATCCAAAGGACTTCATCAGTGTGAGGAGCCACAACAAATTCAGTCCCACAATCAGGACACACATGGCCAACCAGTTTAATGGTGATGGTTTCTGGAGTCTGCCATCTCCCCCCATCAACTCCTCTGAGGCAGCCATAGCCAACTCATAGCAAAAAGTAGTTTATTTAAGTGTACTAAAAGTATACTTATTTTACACTAAAAATGAGGAAGTGTACTTGAAGTTTTTTTTTTATAAACTTTATTTGATATACTTAAAAATAGTATAGTGAAGTATACTTGGCTAATACTGAAAAGTATAAAGAGAAGTCTAAGACTAAGTACATTAATATTAAGCCTTACCGTAAACTCGTACTTTAATACTAAAGCTTATAGTTGTACTTTAGTATATGCTACTCTTTATTTCTTTAATATTTTTATTATTTTTTATATTTTCTTTATATTTTATTACTCTTTATTTCTCTTTATTCATAAAAGTGTACATAAAGTATACTTAAATAAACTGAAATGTGGACTAGAAGTATATAACTAGTGCAATGGCAGTATAGAGAAACATATAGTTGTGGTATACTTTAAATGTACTAACTAAAATGCGACCCACAAGTATATACGTAGTACACTAGTAGTATATAGATGAGTGTACTTGAATGTATAATTTGGTAAACTTAAAAACCCTTAACAAAAATTAGTACATTTTAAGTTTATTTTTGCAAGTATACTTTAAGTTAAGTATAAGTATATCAAGTATACTACACACCATACTTGTAGTGTAGTATACAGATTTAATACTTGTTTGGACTAAATTGGGACATTATTATACTATTTTTAGGTATATCAAATAAAGTTTATTAAAAGTAAACTTCAAGTACACTTCCTCATTTTTAGTGTAAAATAAGTATACTTGTAGTACACTTAAATAAACTACTTTTTGCTAAGGGAAAGACCTTACAACAGTATACTTGAAGGACACTTTTTATAAACTAAAAATGTCCCAATTTAGTCCGAACAAGTATTAAATCAGTATGCTTTCTAGTACACTACAAGTACATGATGTGTAGTATACTTGATATACTTAACTTAAAGTATACTTGCAAAAATGAACTTAAAATGTACTACTTTTTGTTAAGGGAAAGGGTTCAAAAACATCAAAGTTCATGCTCCATAATCCTCAGAGGAGTCAACTGGGGAGAGGACGGACTCCAGAAACCATCTTATCACCAAAATAAAAAACCAGTTTGGCCCAATATGTGAGTAAGCCACTTATGGGACTGAGTTTGTTGTGGCTCCTCAAACTGATGAAGTCCTTTGGATGAAGGGTGAAGCATTTCATCAAACAAAGAAACTGTCCAGAGGACCTGACTGAACTTTGTTGGATTTTTTTACTTAGTAAAAATAAACAAGTACTTGCTTTTAAAAATTCTCAAAGTATTAAAAGTAAAAGTATGCTGAATGTATTACCTGATGCAATGGTCTACAGATCATTAAGTGTGCCTACTGTATATATATTTTCTGTAATACATTAATAGTGTTGTTCCATTTTAATGAACAATGCTGCAGATAATACATGTTTTTATTGTGTTTACTCTGTGACACAGTTCACACTTGGACTTGTGATTCTGTGTCAGAATTTCAGGGATGACCTGCAGAGTTAAATGTCATTAAGCAAAATAAGAAAGAGGAATGATTATACCTTTGGACGTTTTTAATTAGCACAAAGTCAAATCAATGTGTCATTTTAACTGCAGTAAACACATTTAAGTAAAAGTTGTCTGCCTGAACAAAAGGAGCATTAGACACAACTAACAAATGAATAGACACTGATCATTTCAACTCCAGTCTGTCATCAACTCTAGTTAAAATTCTGTCTAGTCAACCTTGTAATGGGTCAATAGTGAATAATATTTTAACTTCCTAACACCATTTTCAAAACTTGGACCCGAGTGTCGAGTCATTTGGAGACATGTCTTGTCTCCTAACATCCCATGAACTGACACATTTTAATATTGCAGCAAGAATTTCTTGTTCAAGTTCAGAAGAAGTTGGTTTTCAAAGTTTTCTGAGTCCAGTCTGTCTCAGGAGAGAGAATCTGTCCTGCTGTACTGAATAGTCTTTCAATAATCTTTCAATAGTCTTTTAATAATCTTTCAATAGTCTGTCAATAATATTTCAATGGTCTTTCAATAATCTTTCAATAGTCTTTCAATAATCTTTCAATGGTCTTTCAACAGTCTTTCAGTATTTTTTCAACAATCTTTCAATGGTCTTTCAACAGTTTGTCAATAATATTTCAATGGTCTTTCAAAAATCTTTCAATAGTCTTTCAATAGTCTTTCAATAATATTTCAATAGTCTTTCAATGGTCTTTCAATAATCTTTCAATAGTCTTTCAATAATCTTTCAATAATCTTTCAATGGTCTTTCAATAATCTTTCAATAATCTTTCAATAGTCTTTCAATAATATTTCAATAGTCTTTCAATGATCTTTCAATAATTGTTCAATAGTCTTTCAATAATAACTCAATAGTCTTTCAATGGTCTTTCAATAGTCTTTCAATAATCTTTCAATGGTTTTTCAATAGTCTTTCAATAATTCAATAATCTTTCAATGGTCTTTCAATAGTCTTTCAATAATCTTTCAATTAGGTCATGGGTGGTGCATATCTTCTGGCTGACTCTCCACATTGGAATCCATTTTGGGTGTTATCGGTGCTGTGGACACGCCCAGCTCAATGACGTATATACTAGAATATACGTCATTGGTCCAGCTCTTCTTGAAGGTGGGTCTAACATTATCTGCCCACTTTGCAGTGATTCAGTGGACCAACTCCCCTCGACCATTGGTTACTTTCAAGCTAACGATCAAATAAAAAAACTGCAACATGAATGTAACTTGTAACACAACTCATTATAAAAATGCAGTGTAGTAGAAAGTATAGATACTTAATGTAAAATGCAGTGGAGTAAAAATTGAAAGGACCCACTTTGACTCTACTTAAGTAAAGTACAGGTACATAAAAAAAAGTTTTCATTCAACCTTTATTTAGACTGGTTAATCCCATTGAGCCATTTACAAGAGAGACCTGATTTCTTTACCAAAGAGTGATGACAAAAATGGACAACAACAACAATAGACAGTTACAAAACAGGCATACAAATTTAATTAATTTTTTTTTTTACTAATTAAAATAAAATGGCAACCAAAAGGACAGTTAAAAGGAAAATGTAACAAACAAGCAAACAAAACGGCTAGATTATAAGGCAGTGTACTAAAAACAGGAACATGTCTGCATTGGTTTTTGCCAGGAACTTAAATGTTTGAAGCCACTTAGAGAGGTCAAGGTCGAGAGCTTTAGATCTTTTTGTAAGATATTCCAGGAAACAGGAGCGGAGTAGGAGAAGACCCTTTGCCTAGTTCAGTCCTCACTGAGGGAACACTGCAGGTAATAATGTCCAGCGAGCGCACGCTGTAGCTGCACTCACGCAGAGACATGTAGGAGGAGATGTATGAAGGCAGCAGACCAAGAAGTGATTTAAAGATGAAAATGTACCAGTGGGATAGTCTGTATGAAGTTAATTATGTCCAGTTAACCAGTGAATACAGGGTGCAGTGATGACTTAAGTACCTACACTTGGTTACATCCCACCACTGCCTATTAGTAATGGTAAACTATTAGTGGCTACTACTAGTTAACCTAACACATAACCACCCAACGAGACTGTTCCTGACCTGGCTTTGGTCCCCACAATGTAACCTGAAACAAAAACGCGCATGCACACACAGCGCGCCACCCTCTGCGGTTTGTGCGTAAAGGGGTTTGGCACAGCACTGCGCAGCGCGTAAACCAAAGCGCATTGTGGATGACTGCAGCAGGCAGTCTGCAGGCAGAGCGTGCAGGAAGCAGCCGAACATTTCCAGGAAATTGGATTCATGTCACTTTTTTCCCCCTTCTAGATAAAAGTCTGGGGTCTTGTCACCTCTACTTTTCTTGGCTAAATTCCGAAGTTGGTGAGTTTACTAAATATATTTCTCTAAAGAGGAGAGCGCCTTTAAAGTGAAGGTAAACTCTGTGCGTAAAAGAAAGGACAAGAGGTTCGAGACGGTGTGAGAAGAGGGCTGTGCTGTTTGCAGCGATGCCGTGCGTCCAGACCCAGCTCGGCTCCTCTCCACCCGGAGCCAGCGCCGCGGGGGAGCGCAGCTGCGAGTTCCTCACCCCGGAGTTTGTCAAGTTCAGCATGGATCTAACGAACAGCGAGGTGTCCGCGGCCGGACCCGGGTTCGCGCCGCTCCCGGACGGTTACGGCTCCGGGTTCGACGTGAAGCCGCCCTGCCTCTTCCAGATGCAGGTCCAAGGGGAGCTGCCGTGCGTCAAGGTGGAGGACGGGTGTCCGCGGTACCCGCCGCCGGATGAGCTGCTCTCCCCACCGGGATCAGTGTATTATTCCCCGCACGCCTCCATCACGACCTTCCAGCCTCCCCCGGGACACCTCTGGGACGAACCGGGCTCCCTGTACAGTTTCCGGCAGGACTATTTGTCCGCGGCGCACCGGAAGAACCCGCTGTCCAGGTTTTCCCTCTTCTCCCTCAAACAGCACAGAGCGCAGACTTTGTCCGCGTGCCACGTGAAACTGGACGGATCTCTGCAGGTGTCCGTGAACCTGGACGCGCGCCAGCAGCTGGAGCAGCCCGGCGCGGGTTTGATTCCTCGTCCCCTCCAGCTCACGCACCGACCGCACTTCATGGAGGCGTGCGCGAGCCGTGGGGCGCTGAGCTCGGAGGGGCTGTGCGCGGTGTGCGGGGACAACGCAGCCTGCCAGCACTACGGAGTGCGCACCTGCGAGGGCTGCAAGGGCTTCTTCAAGGTGCAACACTCACCTGCGCCATTAGACTAACTTATTAGGCCCCAACCCTGGTCCTTGAGGGACGCCATCCTGCATGTTTTAGTTGTTTCCCTGCTCCAACACACTTGATTCAGAGATTTTATTACGTCCTGAAGTTCTGCTAAAGCCTGTTGATCACCCATTCATTCAAATCAAGTCAAAGCAGGGAAACTACTAAAACATGCAGGATGGTGTTCCTCAAGGACCAGTGTTGGGAACCACTGGAACTCAAGTGCGCACTTTTATTAAAAAAAAAAAAAAAAAAAAAAAAAAAACCC